GCATATATAAAGTAAATAGTATTGGTCCAAGTACAGAACCTTGTGGAACTTCATGACTAACTGTAGTATTTATTGAAGATTCATCGTTAACATGTACAAACTGCGAACGATCTGATAAATATGACTTAAACCAGCTTAGTGCGGTTCCTTTAATGCCAATTTGATGCTCAAGTCTCTGTAAAAGAATATCATGGTCAATGGTGTCAAATGCAGCACTAAGATCTAATAATACAAGTACAGAGACAAGTCCATTGTCAGAAGCAATCAAAAGGTCATTATTAACTTTAACCAGAGCTGTCTCTGTGCTATGATGAACTCTAAATCCTGACTGAAAATCCTCAAATAAACTATTGTTATGTAGAACGTCACACAACTCTTTGGCGACTACTTTCTCCAGAATCTTAGAGAGGAAGGGGAGGTTAGAGATTGGTCTGTAGTTGGCTAAAACCCCTGGGTCAAGAGTGCACTTTTTAAGAAGGGGTTTAATTACAGCTACTTTAAAGGACAGTGGTACATATCCTGATAATAAAGAAAGATTAATCATATCCAGTAAAAAAGTGCCAATTAAGGGAACAACTTCTTTAAGCAGCCTAGTTGGGATCGGGTCTAACAGACAGGTTGATGGCTTCGATGAAGAAACGATTGAAGTTAACTGATGAAGATCGATAGCAGAAAAACAGTCTAAATATATATCTAAGTTTACATTAGCAAAAGTCCCTGAACTTGGAGAGCCACTGATAACTGTTAATGGCAGTTGGTGATTAATTTTCTCTCTAATAGTGATCATTTTATTGTGGAAGAAGCTCATAAAGTCGTTGCTACTTAAGTTTATGGGGATATGTGGCTCAATAGAGCTGTGGCTCTCTGTCAGCCTGGCTACAGTGCTGAAGAGGAACCTAGGGTTATTCTTATTTTCTTCTATTAGTGCTTAGTAATAGGCTCCTCTGGTTATTACCGCTTCATTGATAACTGGAAGCCTTTTTGGGGAAAACCTGGTCTGATTAGGAGAGACGGCATCCATCCCACTTTGGATGGAGCGGCTCTCTTATCTAGAAATAGGGCGAAGTTTATTTCTAAAACCTGACAGTCCAGAGTTGGGACCAGGAAGCAGAGCTGCTGTCTTACACACTTCTCTGCGCTTTCTTTAGAACAGTCACCCACCCAAAACCCCATAGAGACTGTGTCTGTCCCCTGACCACCTAAATTATTTAAAGAAATAAAAACAAGAGGAGTTCAACATAAAAATCTAATAAAAATTAAAACCAACTCCTCAGTAGCACAAAATAAGAGAATTAAATTTGGGCTGTTAAATATCAGGTCTCTGTCCTCTAAAGCTGTTTTAGTGAATGAATTAATATCAGATTATGATATTGATTTACTTTGTCTTACTGAGACCTGGTTGTCCCACAAGGAGTATGTTAGCCTAAATGAATCCAACTGGAAAACACTGTGGCCAGTTCTATTTGTTATAGTGTACCGCGCTCCTGGCCCGTAATCTGATTTTATATCTGAATTCTCAGAGTTTTTATCAAGTTTAGTCCTTAAATCAGATAAAGTAGGACATGTGGATGTTAACAATGACAGCCTTAGTAACACATTTATATCATTAATAGACTCAATTGGCTTCTGTCAGAGTGTAAATAAACCAACTCATTGTTTTAATCACACTCTTGACCTTGTTCTATCATATGGCATTGATATTGAACATTTAATAGTCTTCCCACATAATCCTTTCCTATTTGACCATTATTTAACAACTTTTGAATTCATACTATTAGATTATAAGCCATTAGGCAAAACTTCCTATCTGTCTTCTTCCACAATAAAATTATTACTATTAGAGAGAAAATTAATCACAGACTGCCATTAACAGTTATCAGTGGCTCTCCAAGTTCAGGGACTTTTGCTAATGTAAACTTAGATATATATTTAGACTGTTTTTCTGCTATCAATCTTCATCGGTTAACTTCAATCGTTTCTTCATCGAAGCCATCAACCTGTCTGTTAGACCCGATCCCAACTAGGCTGCTTAAAGAAGTTGTTCCCTTAATTGGCACTTCTTTACTGGATATGATTAATCTTTCTTTATTATCAGGATATGTACCACAGTCCTTTAAAGTAGCTGTAATTAAACCCCTTCTTAAGAAGCCCACTCTTGACCCAGGGGTTTTAGCCAACTATAGACCAATCTCTAACCTCTCTTCCTCTCTAAGATTCTGGAGAAAGTAGTCGCCAAAGAGTTGTGTGACTTTCTACATAACAATAGTTTATTTGAAGATTTTCAGTCAGGATTTAGAGTTCATCACAGCACAGAGACAGCTCTGGTTAAAGTTAATAATGACCTTCTGATTGCTTCTGACAATGGACTTGTCTCTGTACTTGTATTATTAGATCTTAGTGCTGCATTTGACACCATTGACCATAATATTCTTTTACAGAGACTTGAGCATCAAATTGGCATTAAAGGAACCGCACTAAGCTGGTTTAAGTCATATTTATCAGATCGTTCTCAGTTTGTACACGTTAACGATGAACCTTCAATAAATACTACAGTTAGTCATGGAGTTTCACAAGGTTCTGTACTTGGACCAATACTATTTACTTTATATATGCTCCCTTTAGGCAACATTATTAGGAATCACTCCATTAACTTTCACTGTTATGCAGATGATACGCAGTTATATCTATCGATCAAGCCCGATGAAATTAATCAATTATCTAAATTACAAACATGTCTTAAGGACATAAAATCCTGGATGAGCTGCAATTTTCTGATGTTAAACTCTGAAATTCTTAACTTAAATTCTTGTTCTTGGCCCCAAAAACCTTAGAGACTCACTGTCTAAAGATATAGTTACTCTAGATGGCATTACCTTGGCCTCTAGCACCACTGTCAGGAATCTTGGAGTTATCTTTGATCAGGATTTGTCTTTTAACTCCCACATGAAGCAGACCTCTAGGACAGCCTTCTTTCATTTACGTAATATTAAAAGAATTAGACACATCCTATCACAGACAGATGCAGAAAAACTCATCTATGCATTTGTTACTTCTAGGCTGGATTACTGCAACTCTTTATTATCAGGTTGCCCCAATAAGTCCATTAAAACGGTCCAATTAATTCAGAACGCTGCAGCACGAGTACTGACAGGAACTAGAAAAAGAGATCACATCTCTCCTGTACTAGCTTCTCTGCATTCGCTCCCTGTAAAATGTAGAATAGAATTTAAAATCCTCCTCCTCACCTATAAAGGTCTTCATGGTCAGGCCCCTTCATATATTAAAGAGCTCATAGTACCCTATTACCACACTAGAACACTACGTTCTCTGAATGCTGGGCTACTTGTGGTTCCTATAGTCTCTAAAAGTAGAACAGGAGCCAGAGCCTTCAGTTACCAAGCTCCTCTCCTGTGGAACCAGCTTCCAGTTGTGGTTCGGGAGGCAGACACCCTCACCACATTCAAGAGTAGGCTTAAGACATTCCTCTTTGATAAAGCTTATAGTTAGGGCTGGATCAGGTGAGTCCTGAACCATCCCTTAGTTATGCTGCTATAGGCCTAGACTATCGGGGGATTTCCCATGGTGCACTGAGCTCCTCTCTTCCTCTCTCTTTCTGCACTCATTCATGTTCCATTAATGCATGTTACTAACTTCACTTCTTCCCCGGAGTTCTTGTGCTTTCTGGTCTCGCAGGTTCTTATCGATCCTGGTGGAGCCTCCTGCCATGGTCCTGCTAGATTGCCATTGACAATACTGTTGTTGCTGTGCACCTGTCTGTCTGTCTCTCTCTCTCTCTCTCTCTCACCCCAACTGGTCGAGACAGACGACCACCCACCTAGAGCCGGAGGATCTGTCCTAGGTTTCTGCCTTTTAACAGGCAGTTTTTCCTTGCCCTTGTCGCCTAGTGCTTGCTCATGGTGGTACTGTTGGGTCTCTGTAAATAATATTTTAAAGAGTTCTGTCTAGACCTGCTCTATTTGAAAAGTGTCCTGAGATAACTTCTGTTATGAATTGGCGCTATACAAATAAAATTGAATTGAATTGAATTGAATTGAATATAACATATATACCATATAACACATAGAACATATATAACATAGAAAACATACAACATATAACACATATATAACATAGAACATATATTATGTATAACATAGAACACATATAACATATCACATATATAACATAGAACACATATAACATAATATATATAATCTATATAATATATAACATATAGGGATTCTCGATATTGGCTTTTCTGCCGATATCCGATATTCCGATATATTCCAACTCTCAATTTCTGATACCGACATCACCCGATACCGATATATGCATTTACACCAAAGCTGTTAGGTAAAAACATAACATATCTCCTATAGTGGAATTAACACATTATGCCTTATTTTATTGTGATGCCCCACTGGATGCATACATAAATGCAACATGGCTTTCCAAATGTAAACACTGTGCAAAATAAGAGAACGACTTCAACTTTCATTGTATCAATACTGAAAAGAGCGCTAACGCTAATCGCTAGCTAAGCGCTAATCGCTAGCTAAGCACTAGCTTTGGTTAATGTGTTTAATTGTATTATGCACCTGAAGGAGTCCTAATGTAAATTCTAAGCCAATTGTTAGTTTGGTTAAGGAACAGCTCATAGCAGGGTAAAATATTTAAGGTGCATTGCACTTATTTCGTGTTAATATTAAAATCATTCAGCTTTAAATTGTTTGCTTGTTAGCCACGGTTAGCAACCAACCAGTCTAGTGTGTAGCTGTTGTTGTTATACGTCATCCAGCGCAAGCCGGTAAACGTCCCATGCTGCGTTCATGCAGGCTCGGAAATGCTGAAGCCTCCGGAACAAACTTCAGTTATAAAAACCCGATACCGATAATTCCCGATATTACATTTTTTAGTGAATTTCGGCCGATAATATCGGACATCCCTAATAACATATAACTTATATATGTTTCAGCTCTAACTTTGCCTGTTGCTTACAGTACAAAGACTCGCTCCGGCTGTCTGGGACGTAAAGGACCGGATGGACGATTTTCCAGACTGACTCTACAGAGGCCCGGATGGACAAAAGATGAGGTAATGATCTTCATGTTCCCTCCTTCACAGTAGAAGTCAGTTTCAGATATTCCCAATGATACAGTTATAGCCTCCTGTAATATAAGGACAGGATACCTGATGATGATGATGATGATGATGATGATGGTGGTATCCTCAGGATGAGAAGCTGCACAGGCTGCTGAAGGAGTTTGGATCAAACAGCTGGTCTTCAGTTTCTCTTCACTTCAGAGTGAGTTGTTTCACACATTCATTCACTCACTGGACGCCGTTTAACGTTCCTGTGTGCTTCCTGTTTGTAGCTAAGCTAACGGCTCAGAGAGGCTAACTGTGTGTTACCATGGTAACAGTCAGTGCACATGTGTGAGGGACAGACTGTGTGTGTGTCTCAGGGTCAGAGGTCAGGTGTGGAGTGTCAGCGGAGGTGGCAGCAGATAAAGAACCCAGAGCTGGTCAAAGGTCCCTGGACTCAGGAGGAGGATGAGAGGGTGAAGATCTTCCTCCGACTGAACATTTATAGTATCATTGATCAGGGAATGATGTAATATCTGTGGTGGCGTTGCTGTGCGTCTGCTGCTGGAACTCCTTTATAAACCCATGATATGTTGTGATGTCACTTCCTGTGCAGGTCATCGATCTGGTTCAGAGGTACGGCGTGAAGCGCTGGTCGCTCATCGCCAAACACTTGCACAGTCGGAACGGGAAGCAGTGCCGCGAGCGCTGGCACAACCACCTGAACCCGACGGTGAAGAAGAGCAGCTGGACGCTGGAGGAGGACCGCATCATCTGTCAGGCCCACAGACTGCTGGGAAACCGCTGGGCCGACATCTCCAAACTGCTGCCTGGCAGGTACGTAGATCGCCTGCAGGTACATAGACCACCTGCAGGTAGGTAGACTGCCTGCAGGTACGTAGACAGCCTGTAGGTACATAGACCACCTGCAGGTAGGTAGACTGCCTGCAGGTACGTAGACCGCCTGCAGGTACATAGACCACCTGCAGGTACGTAGACTGCCTGCAGGTACGTAGACAGCCTGTAGGTACATAGACCACCTGCAGGTAGGTAGACTGCCTGCAGGTACGTAGACAGCCTGTAGGTACGTAGACTGCCTGCAGGTACATAGACCACCTGCAGGTACGTAGACAGCCTGTAGGTACGTAGACCGCCTGTAGGTACGTAGACAGTCTGAAGGTACGTAGACAGCCTGTAGGTATGTAGACAGCCTGCAGGTACGTGGACCGCCTGTAGGTACGTAGACCGTCTGTATGTACATAGACAGCCTGCAGGTAGGTAGACCGCCTGTAGGTACGTAGACTGTCTGTAGGTACGTAGACCGCCTGCAGGTACGTAGACCGTCTGTAGGTACGTAGACAGTCTGTAGGTACGTAGACCGTCTGTAGGTACGTAGACAGTCTGTAGGTACGTAGACCGCCTGCAGGCACGTAGACAGATGGTGGCGGGCAGACAGACAGACAGACAGACAGACAGACAGACAGACGGTGGCGGGCCTCATGCAGCGTCTGTGTTTGTTCCTCAGGACAGATAACTCAATCAAAAACCACTGGAACTCCACCCTTAAGAGGAAGGTGGAGAAGGAGGGATACCTGCAGGTCTTGCGACTCTACAACTCCTCCTCCACCTCCTCCAACTCCTCCACCTCCTCCTCTAACTCCACCAGACCAGCACCCGGGACCTGCGCCCCCCCCAGCATCCCCACCAAGGTCAGCCTCCACCCACGCAGCCGTCGTCCATGCCTGACAGCGACAGAGACGATAATGTTCTCCTGTCCTCCAGCAGGGGGACAGTCTGTCCAGCAGCACCTCCAGCGATCAGAGTATGTGCGGATGCCAAAGCAACCACGCCTACCTGTGCCCCGCCTGCGTCCCTGCCTCCTCCTCAGGTTACGACTCGTCTCTCAGCGTGTGCGAGCTGACAGCGCTCGTGGAGCTGACTGACGCGGTGCTTTAGCTTCTCATTTTATTTGTTGGAACTTAGCTGAGGCTTTTATTTTGGAAGACAGCTGGTTGGTCTCTAAGGCAGTCAGTGTAATTTAACCTTTAATTAGTCTGTTAATGTTTGCTTTTCGTACTGAAGTCAAACTGAAGTTTGTTTTCTTGGTTATCAGTGTCATTAATTATTATCAGTTTTGTTATTAAACTAAATGAATGGAACCTGACTCCATCACAGCACACAGAGACCTGGAGCCGTGGCCCACAGGAAGTGACCTCATCGCTCTCCACCTGCCTGTACAGAGACCCCGCCGACCCGTCGGTCATTGATCTGACCAGGAGTTATGTAAGACAACAAACTTATTTACACCTTCTGAAATATAATGTTCTCAGTCTGTAATGTCTGCCAGTCTGATGAGGTGGTGAAGCAGCGTGGGTTCCTGGGAGTTGTTGTCTTCACCACCACTGGCGTCATTGCAGTCAGCTTCTCCCGGTTAGGATTCCTTCAGTGTTCATGGTTCAGGAAGTTTCTATTATTATTGATTATTGATTAAATCAACTAGAACATAGTTGCAACAGTTGCTGAACCTCCTCCCGGAGCAGTCTGTCTGTCTGTCTGTCTGTCTGTCCTGCTGATTGAATGATCTGTCTGTCTGTCTTCAGTTCATCGGTCTGTGCGACATTGACGATCTGAAGTTACAGCGTCCAGTTCTCACCTCCACCCCCGTCTGTTCCCTCAAACACGCCACCAGCACTAACCAGGACCAGGACTCCTGTCTGCACTGCAGCCACACCAGTCGGTAGGTCCGGGAGGGGTCAGAGGTCACATACGTTGTAGTATCCTGTCCTGTTACTGTGGCGGTACTGACAGACTGCTGATGAGTTGTGAACGTGTGCGGTGGTGCTCAGGACGCCCGAAGAGATCAGACAGAGGATCAGAGAGTTGTTGACGTCAGCTCCTCGAACACCGACACCGCTGAAGATCAGCAGCCAGCACGAGGTGAGAACAGACTCAAGCAGCTGATGTAAGACCTGGACCTGAACGCAGACCCGGGCTATCCTCACTGTGTGTTTGTGGCTCAGGTGTCTGTCTGTTCGGGCAGGATGATGAATCTGACGTGGGAGGAGCAAAGCGTCCATCCTGACATTCAACAGTCCAGCAGCAGCTCTGAGGTCTGTCTCACACACACACACTATATAGTTAACTGGGATTCTGCTGAGTGAGCGGACCCCCTTCACATACAGGATCACACAGGTGTCCACCAGCTCTACAGTGATGATATATGTTTGTATAGAGAATAATCTGCATTAATGAACTCCACTTTTATGATTTTGAAGTAAAAAGCTAACGTTAACATTAACAAACTACACCTCGGTCACATGACTTCAACACCACTAAACCTCCAACTTTCACTGAAAGCTTCCATATGTGTATATGTACATATATCATATAATATATATGTATATATACTTTTATGCTCCCGAGTGCCTTCTCTCTCCGCTTCCCTACAGTGCCAACAGTGTGCAACACTAGCTAACGTTAACTTATAAATGGAGTCCGCTAACTTCTACGATCGGCCGACACCCACCACAACACAGAGTCCAACACAGTGTCCAAAGTCAAAGCTAACATTACTGCTAAGCTAGTGGAACATATTGTAACCAGGACGCTGACTGCAGCATTGCCACTGGTGGCACTGTTAACGGTTTAATGACAGTTCCACATAGAATCTCAAAATCTTTAATTGAAATCTACACTTTGTAAAGTTTGAGTTAGAACAGTTTACAGAATAGAAACACAACAAGGCCGTGACCAGGTGCTCCTGCAGCGCTCAGTGCTTCAGACCAATCAGTGTCCTTTGAGCCACATCAGGAGGATGTTGGGTGTCAGACAGTCAGGAAGTTAATCCGTAAGTCCGAACCTGATCATGTGGAGCTTCTGTCCTGCAGGTCCAGGGAGAGAGTCTGCTCAGCTCCATCCAGAGAGAATCCTGCTCTGTGCCTGGCTGCGAGGAGTTTGGCTGCTTCCTGTTGGAGGGACAGGGGGATGTGTGGTGGTGTCCGCAGTCAGTTGATTACACAAACTCTCCCGAATGTCCCGCAAACAGAACGAACCCCTTCGAGGTGAGGACTGACCTAACACACACACACACACACACACACACACACACACACACACTTTATACACCGTCCTGCTGCCACAAGCACTCACTACAGCACCACATGTGGATTCATCCGCTGCTGAAAGAAGTCCCCAACAGATGCACTATTTCCTCCACTTTGATAAAAACAACAGTGAACCTTTTAAACGTGAAACTGTATCTATGAGGTGTTTATAGAGATCACATGATTGTGTCAGCAGCTGAGCGGAGAGCTACAGGTGGTGATGTACGGGAAAACAGACGATCAGATGAGTCTGACGGAGCAGGCCCGACTCTACGTGGAGCCCTGGTGAGTCCGTCTGTCCTTCAGCTCACTCATAATGAGTGTCTGCTCTTTGTCCCTAAAGCTCATTTAAAGCTCCTCTATGTACCATTAAACTGTAGCTAACAGCGCCTCCAGTGGTCGTTCATTAAACTGTAGCTAACAGCGCCACCAGTGGTCGTTCATTAAACTGTAGCTAACAGCGCCACCAGTGGTCGTTCATTAAACTGTAACTAACAGCGCCACCAGTGGTCGTTCATTAAACTGTAACTAACAGCGCCACCAGTGGTCGTTCAGTGAACTGTAGCTAACAGCGCCACCAGTGGTCGTTCATTAAACTGTAGCTAACAGCGCCAGTCCTCAGTGGCTAACAGCGCCCGTTCATTCAAACTGTAGCTAACAGCGCCACCAGTGGTCGTTCATTAAACTGTAGCTAACAGCGCCACCAGTGGTCGTTCATTAAACTGTAGCTAACAGCGCCACCAGTGGTCGTTCATTAAACTGTAGCTAACAGCGCCACCAGTGGTCGTTCATTAAACTGTAACTAACAGCGCCACCAGTGGTCGTTCATTAAACTGTAGCTAACAGCGCCACCAGTGGTCGTTCAGTGAACTGTAACTAACAGCGCCACCAGTGGTCGTTCAGTGAACTAGTGAGCAGCTAACAGCGCCACCAGTGGTCGTTCATTAAACTGTAGCTAACAGCGCCGCCAGTGGTCGTTCAGTGAACTGTAACTAACAGCGCCACCAGTGGTCGTTCAGTGAACTGTAGCTAACAGCGCCACCAGTGGTCGTTCATTAAACTGTAGTAACTAACAGCGCCACCAGTGGTCGTTCAGTGAACTGAATAAACTTCAGTGAACTGTAACTAACAGCGCCACCAGTGGTCGTTCATTAAACTGTAACTAACAGCGCCACCAGTGGTCGTTCAGTGAACTGTAGCTAACAGCGCCACCAGTGGTCGTTCATTAAACTGTAACTAACAGCGCCACCAGTGGTCGTTCAGTGAACTGCATCACTCTCAGCTAGTAGAAAGCTATCGTTAGCTTTGTGCTGTTAGCATCATTGATGTGTAAACGTATAACGTGAACAATGATAGTTGAAGTCTGTTCATACACTGTCAATAAAGCTGATTCTGATTTTTGTGTCTTTCAGAGATTCCCGCTTTCATCGAGCAGTGACAAAAAACATGCTGTGAATCTTTTTATGATGATTTTAAATCAACTATCATCAGTCTGCTGAGTCGACCCACAAATCATGAGTCAGCATTTTAAATCATCTTTCAGTCCTGAGACTCGCTGCACTCAGTGTCCATCAGTTTATCTAAGAACTGATGTTTATTGATTTATTTAGCAGTTAACAGGAAACATCTGTAATGATTATATTGTATATTATATACATTATATATTGAAGCTGAATTTGAACAAAAGCTCTATTTTTATCATTTGATCATATTTAATGTCGTATTTCTTATATGTTTACTGAAGATGTGATAATTATTTAGTAGATTTTATATTTTTAATCACACTGATATTTATTTATTTATTGAAGTCTGGCTGATATTGATATTTATTGACACAAAGACACTTTATATTTAAAACTAACTTTTGCACTTTGGATCAAAACTTTGTGAATTTGAATTTGACACTTTTTAACCACTGAAATACCTCCAATAAGAGTAGACTGAAGCGAATGAATTGACTGTAATTTATTGGGTTTGAATGAAAACTTATTTACACTTATTCTTTTATTTCAATTGTGACAATTGAAAAACAAAGCTTTGATTGTTGTAAAACAGAAACGTGCAATAAATGGCCAACAGTGAGTCAGTGTGAGTATCTTCTGTCTACTGACCAGAGATCAGCATCCGTCTCTGCTCGGAGAAACACACTCCAGTGTCTTCCAGGAAGGAAGGTCTTTGTTTCTGACTCATGGTCTCGGGACTTCATAAGCTGGGACCTGCTGGGGGCCAGGGGGTCAGTCCTGAGGTCTTCAGTAGATACTTAATAGAATCAATAAGCTACGTTTCTCCCGGTGTCTGAGAGCGGCGACTGGTTGCAGGTCGGCAGTCTAGTCGGGCTGGAAGGCGGTGTTTACGGAGCCGTTCTCCAGAGGAGGGTGGGGAAGGTGGGGGCAGCTCTTCCTCCTGGACTTGGTCAGGACGCGGTGGAGGAGGCTGGGGGATCCGTGAGGAGGAGCTGCCGAGGGCCCCGGTGGCGCAGAGGACCCATCGAGTCCCAACGGGCGCATGAGGCTGTTTTTCCTCAGCAGCTTGGGAGTACTGCGACCACTGCGGGGAGCAACCAGTACGTGAGTTCCTGTTGCTTTTTATACTTCAGTTCAACTCTACTGTCAGTTTACTGGTGGAAAACAAAACACAGTTAATAACTCTAAAGGCTGACCACAGTAACTACAGTTTGGGTCAAACAGAGTTCTGACTGAAACCACAGCTCTCCCTCGGTGTCTCAGAGCTTCAGCTGGAGCTTAGTCTTCATACTCCAGCTCAAAAATACTCACTAAGATACTAAGATAAATGATTTTCACTGAAATATGATATATATATACATATAACTTTTTAAATTGCGTTGTCTCTACTCGATGTGTAAATAAAGTTATCAGTGTAAATAAAATGGTCAGGGCTGTCTTATGATGGTGCAGTTACCTTGTGCAGCCACAGGGGGCGCCTGCTGTCGTCACGACGACTGGTACCGACCCCCTCCTCAGCAGCGTGGCTTTGGACGAAACTCCGCCCTGCGCCACAAAGACTGCGTTACATCCATTGACAGTTGACTGGACTGCATTCTATGTAAAGACCAGCAGGGGGAGCACTTGGTTCACTATCTCCGTATACAGCTTCTTCCATACAGCAGGATGTTCATTTACAGTGACACAGACCATAAAGCAGGGTAGGCTTTAGGGCGGGGCTACCTTGTGATTGACAGCTCATTCTCAGGGAACCAAACTCAGATCACTTTAGATGTTCCTAACTGAGCTCAGTAGACCAGATGAGGGCTGTTACCTGGAGCGGCTCCACGCAGGCTGCAGGGAAGTAACCCTCGCTTCCGTTTGTCAGCCGTCCGAACCACCAGGTCTCATCCTCCTTAAACAGAACCTGGATCAGGTCTCCCTGGTTCAGGTCCAGCTCCTTCGGCCAGCGGGACCGGTACTGTGTCACTGCCACCACCACCTGCCAATCAATACACATCAATCAATGTCAATATCCAGGTCCCCCAGGAGGAGTCGGACTCGAGGAGTGTCACACTGATATAAATGTAAACTGTTGAATCAAAGAGACTGAAATAGATTAAAGCTGCTTCCTGAACCTGAGTGACCCGCATCAGGAAGCTGCTTTAATTGGTTCATTAGAATCATTGATCAGTGTGTCCTCGTTAATCTGCTTTAAATAGCTGCTGGGAGCTCAGCAGGCTGTAAATACACAGAGGTCAGAGGTCAACATTCTGCCCTAACCAATCACTGGAGACCAACATAGCAACTGGCTAAGAGACTCCTAACGAGCTCGCAGCATCTTGCTCAAGGATACTTCGACAGGTGGCAGGAGGAGCCGGGCATCGAACCAACAACCTTCCCGTTAGTAATATAACTAGTAGTGTAACTAATTACTGTTGGCCGAGAGTAACAAGTAAAGTCCTAATATTAAAGAGTAATGAGTAATAGATTACATTTTACTTAAGGGTTCATTAAACATCTGTTACCTTCTCTGCCTCCACATGTCTGGTCCTGGTCCTCGAGCGGCACACTGCGGGACACAGACACAGTTCCCACTGATCAGCTGATGTATTGATTACTGATCGGCTACCTCTGTGTGTGTGTGTGTGTGTGTGTGTGTCTGTGTGTGGAGACCCACCTTGCGGAGAGAAGACGGTGGTATAAACCTCCAACTGTTGGTCGCTCTGTCTGTAGATCTGCTGCATGATGCTCTGCTCACACACGCACACTGAGCTTAAATAGCTGCTGTCACTAATCCTGTAACACACACACACACACACACACAGACACACACACTGTAACACACACACTCACACACAGACACTCACACTCATACACACACACATACACACACACACTCACACACACATAATTCAATTTTCAATTCAATTCAATTTTATTTGTATAGCACCAATTCATAACAGAAGTTATCTCAGGACACTTTTCAAATAGAGCAGGTCTAGACCGAACTCTTTATAACATTATTTACAGAGACCCAACAGTACCACCATGAGCAAGACCTTGGAGACAAGGGCAAGGAAACACTGCCTGTTATATTGCGATAGTTTACACACAGGTTATCTAAAGCAGCGGTCTGAGGCAGGTTGTGTTCAGTGACTCATGATTTATGGTATAAAGGACCAACAATGGAACCCTGAGGAACTCCATCAGCGATCAATGGGTAGTATATCTGATCAGGGTGACACTGTATTGATCTGTTGTCCTGCTGGCAGTAATTAGGGCCAAAGCACTGACCAGTTCAAGGACCTATTGTAATTCTCTGTTATCTCACGAAACTTTGCACAACATTAAACCGCGGCCAAACTCGACGTATCCATTTGTACCCGTGCACAGGCGCCGCCAAATGGCTAAGCCCCGCCCCTCCGAATCAGCCCCCAAGGTGTGTATGACCGACATGTACGAAAATTGGTACGCATGTGTATCATGCTCAGACAAGCAGAAAAGGCTCTTGGAGCCATACTCAAAACCCAACAGGAAGTTGGCCATTTGGGATTTTGTGGTCATTTCTGGCAATTTTTGGTGTTGTATTTTAAGAAACATCTAGGGAATTGATCAGATCTACTTCAAATTTGGTGAATACAATCCAGAGAAGTTCAGGATGTTACGTTATTAAAATCCTTACATTGGGTAAATTTTCAATGTTTTTTTGCGTTATATTTCAACGAACTCCTACTAGGGAATTTATCGGAACAACGTCAAAATTGGTCAGTGCAGTTAAAAAATATTGCTGATCAAAAGTTGAGCTATTTGTGATTGTACATCGAACCACGTGCCCGTGACGACGTGTTGAATTCCGCCGATTGGCCATAAAACAGATAGTACTCATATCTTCAGTGTACAATGTCCAATGTCCACTAAACTTCACATATTCTGTAACAGTCCCACTCTAAACACGTCCTCATAACTTCAGTGTACGTGGTCCAATCTCAATGAAACTTCAGGTTTGATAACAGTCCCGCCCTGAACACGTGTACATGACAATATTCAGATATAGTGATAGCGCCACCTACTGGCAACAGGAAGTAAGCGCTGCGATGCGATTATGATCAGATTTATGTGAAATTTTCATGTCGTGGTCCGCACATGTTGCGACGGCACGTGCCGCGGCCGCAGCACGACCCGAGTTGCGAGGGCCTGTTCATCGCTGCTTGCAGCTTTTAATTATTATTATTATTATTATTATTATTATGTCTCACACAGGTGAACTCAGATTGCGTGTCCCGTGGTGCGTTCAGGGTCACTCTGTGTTTAGCTTGTTTTCTGCTCTCAGGGTTAAACTAGTTAAACGCGGTCAGATCAGGATTACATAACAACTGTTCTTGGATCGGATTAAACTGGATTAAAACCACGACAGAGAGCCTCTTCTAGGAAACACACACACACCATTTCACACACACTGTAACACACACACACACACACACACACACACACATATACAATAAAACAAACAACTGGCGACAACATTAACATGTAAATATGTATTTTATTTATTTTATTTATTTGTATGTAAATATAAAATCAATAGTCAATAAAAAGGCACTGGTGAGAAACAACGACATCTAGTGGCTGTTAGAAGAACTGCAGCTCATCACACAGCGGACCTGAGAGTGTGTGTTACAGTGTGTGTGTGTGTTCAGTAGAGCTTCATGGAGGCAGCGAAGAGCTCGCTCAGATCTTCCTCAGTGTGTTCTCTGGGAGACAGTTTGGTCACTCGCTCCTGAAACACAAACAAACAAACATACATCTCAATTAACCCTCAATGAAGACAGGAAGTTAAATTTAAGGGTTTTGTGACTTTGAATTTGCATTGATGTTGTTTACGTTGATGTTGTTGTTTACGTTGATGTTGTTGTTTACGTTGATGTTGTTGATGTTGTGTTGTTTACGTTGATGGTGTTGTTTACGTTGATTGTTTTTTACGTTGTGTTGTTTCGTTGATGTTTGGTGTTGTTTACTTGATGTGGTGTTGTTTACGTTGATGTTGTGGTGTTGTTTACGTTGATGTTGTGTTGTTTATGTTGATGTTGTGTTTTTTACGTTGATGTTGTTGTTGTGTTGTTTACGTTGATGTTGTTTACGTTGATGTTGTGTTGTTTACGTTGATGTTGTTGTTTACGTTGATGGTGTTGTTTACGTTGATGTTGTTGTGTTGTTTACGTTGATGTTGTTGTGTTGTTTACGTTGATGTTGTTGTGTTGTTTACGTTGATGTTGTGTTGTTTACGTTGATGTTGTGTTGTTTACGTTGATGTTGTTGTTTACGTTGATGTTGTTGTTTACGTTGATGTTGTTGTTTACGTTGATGTTGTTGATGTTGTGTTGTTTACGTTGATGTTGTTGTGTTGTTTACGTTGATGTTGTTGTTGTGTTGTTTACGTTGATGTTGTTTACGTTGATGTTGTGTTGTTTACGTTGATGTTGTTGTTGTTTACGTTGATGTTGTTGTTGTTTACGTTGATGTTGTGTTGTTTACGTTGATGTTGTTGTTGTTTACGTTGATGTTGTGTTGTTTACGTTGATGTTGTTGTTGTTTACGTTGATGTTGTGTTGTTTACGTTGATGTTGTGTTGTTTACATGGATGTTGTGTTGTTTATGTTGATGTTGTTGTGTTGTTAACGTTGATGTTGTGTTGTTTACATTGATGTTGTGTTGTTTACGTTGATGTTGTGTTGTTTACATTGATGTTGTGTTGTTTACATTGATGTTGTTGTTTACGTTGATATTGTTGTTTACGTTGATGTGGTTGTTTACGTTGATGTTGTTTATGAGTTGTAATGGATTCTGACCTGAGGGATGGTTCCTCTGACCAGAGCGGGGATGTCGTCCTTACTGTATCCCAGAGCTCCCAGTCCGTCCTCCACCTGCAGCTCCAACAGGAACTGACGCAGCGTGTCGGCCAGAACGCCACCGGCATCCTCCCTCTTCACCCGCCGCACGTCTGCACCTGAACGCAGCACACAGAGTCCGTTACTGTGTAGTACTGTGTAGTGTAGTACAGTACAATGTATTACTGTGTAGTACAGTGTAGTGCAGTGTAGTGTAGTACAGTACAATGTATTACTGTGTAGTACAGTGTAGTGCAGTGTAGTGTAGTACAGTACAGTGTAGTACAGTGTAGTATAGTACAGTGTAATACAGTGTACTACATTAGTTTAGTACAGTGTAGTACATTGTAATACAGTGTAGTACAGTGCAGTGTAGTGCAGTGTAGTACAGTGTAGTATAGTGCAGTGTAGTGTAGTGTAGTACAGTGTAGTGTAGTGTAGTACAGTGTAGAGTAATACAGTGTAGTGTAGAGTAATACAGTGTAGTGTAGTGTAGAGTAATACAGTGTAGTGTAGTACAGTGTAGTGTAGTGTAGTGTAATACAGTGTAGTACAGTGTAGTGTAATACAGTGCAGTGTAATACAGTGTAGTGTAGTGTAGAGTAATACAGTGTAGTGTAGTACAGTGTAGTGTAGTGTAATACAGTGTAGTGTAATACAGTGTAGTGTAGTGTAGTGTAATACAGTGTAGTGTAGTACAGTGTAGTACAGTGCAGTGTAGTGTAGTATAGTGCAGTGTAGTACATTACAGTTTAGTACAGTGTAATACAGTGTAGTACAGTGCAGTGTAATACAGTATAGTATAGTACAGTGTAGTACAGTGCAGTGTAATACAGTATAGTATAGTACAGTGTAGTACAGTGTAGTGTAATACAGTATAGTATAATACAGTGTAGTGTAGTGTAGTACAGTGTAGTGCAGTGTAGTGTAGTATAGTGTAGTGTAGTACAGTGTAATAGTGTAGTACATTACAGTTTAGTGTAGTACATTGTAATACAGTGTAGTACAGTGCAGTGTAATACAGTGTAGTATAGTACAGTGTAGTACAGTGCAGTGTAATACAGTGTAGTATAGTGCAGTGTAGTACATTACAGTTTAGTACAGTGTAGTACAGTGCAGTGTAATATAGTATAGTATAATACAGTGTAGTGTAGTACAGTGTAGTATAGTACAGTGTAGTGTAGTGTAGTATAGTGCAATGTAGTGCAGTGTAGTGTAGTAGTGTAGTGTAGTGCAGTGTAGTGTAGTGCAGTGTAGTACAGTGTAGTATAGTGCAGTGTAGTGTAGTGTAGTACAGTGTAGTGTAGTGTAGTACAGTGTAGAGTAATACAGTGTAGTGTAGTGTAGAGTAATACAGTGTAGTGTAGTACAGTGTAGTGTAGTGTAGTGTAATACAGTGTAGTACAGTGTAGTGTAATAAGTGCAGTGTAATACAGTGTAGTGTAGTGTGAGTAATACGTGTAGTGTAGTACAGTGTAGTGTAGTGTAGTGTAATACAGTGTAGTGTAGTACAGTGTAGTGTAGTGTAATAAGTGTAGTGTAATACAGTGTAGTGTAGTGTAGTGTAATACAGTGTAGCACAGTGTAGTGTAATACAGTGTAGTGTAGTACAGTGTAGTACAGTGCAGTGTAGTGTAGTATAGTGCAGTGTAGTACATTACAGTTTAGTACAGTGTAATACAGTGTAGTACAGTGCAGTGTAATACAGTATAGTATAGTACAGTGTAGTACAGTGCAGTGTAATACAGTATAGTATAGTACAGTGTAGTACAGTGTAGTGTAATACAGTATAGTTATACAGTGTAGTGTAGTGTAGTACAGTGTAGTGCAGTGTAGTGTAGTATAGTGTAGTGTAGTACAGTGTATAGTGTAGTACATTAGTTTAGTGTGTACATTGTAATACGTGTGTGTGCGTGTAATACAGTGTAGTACAGTGTAGTAAATTAAGTGTAGTACAGTGCAGTGTAGTGTAGTATAGTGCAGTGTAGTACATTACGTTTAGTACAGTGTAGTAAGTGGTGTAATATAGTATGTATAATACAGTGTAGTGTAGTACAGTGTAGTATAGTACAGTGTAGTGTAGTGTAGTATAGTGCAATGTAGTGCAGTGTAGTGTAGTGCAGTGTAGTAAGGCAGCCCTCACAAGTCATGCTAAAGGAACGAAACACATCCAACACGAGAAGACCGCGAGAGATGGCCTACCAATCCAGGCGTTTTTCAACTCGACGAAAACCACGGCAAGACCAGCAAGTGGACCGGGGTCTGTCTCCAACATGAGCAAAGCACTTTAAATGTAATACCAGCACCCACTGCTACCGCGACTTCGGCCGCAGAGATACTTTGGGCCCTTAAGGTGGCGGATTCGCATTATTCATACAATTCCTGCAGCAATGTCGGGGGCCTATTTTCGAGAATGTTCCCAGACAGTGAGATCACTAGACAGTTTACATTCGGTGTTGCACCTTACTTCAAATCTCTCCTCGTTAGACAGATATCAAGACAAATTGGATATGTGATGCTATTTGATGAGTCACTGAACCATGAATTGCAACGGAAACAGATGGACTTGCATGTTGGCATTTGGGATGGTGGAAAGGTGCGGACGCGGTATGTTGGCTCTGAGTTTTTTGGTCATGCAACTGCACGTGATGTTGTTGACAAAATGATTCCCGTTCTTGAAGGCACTGGAGTGAAAAATCTTGTTCAACTGTCGATGGACGGTCCTCATGTCAATTGGAAAATATTTGACATGCTACAGAAAGATGTTCTCGGTGATGTGAACAAATCTCTGCTCAATATTGGATCATGTGGATTACACGTTATGCATGATGCATTCCGGGATGGGTGCAAAGCAAGTGGCTGGGACATTGAACATGTTGTGTAGCCTGTACTGGCTTTTCAAAGACAGTCCTGCCCGTAGAGAGGCCTACACTAAGGTCACAGGCAGTGACACCTTTATGCTGAAATTTTGCAGCATCGTTGGATTGAGAACATCGACGTCTGCAACCGAGCACTTCTCATGTGGCCACATGTGCGTACATATGTTGAAGCAGTTGCTCGAAAAGATTTCCTAGAGCCTAAATGCAAGTCATATCAAGAAGTAAAGAAAAGTGTATCTGATCCACTCTTCCCTATGCGGGTAGCAGTGTATGAAAGCATTGCGAAGCAGGTCACTCCATTCTTGACAGCCTACCAAACGGATAGACCCATGCTTCCCTTCATGACGGACGACATGTTCAAGTTACTCAAAGGTAAGCCCATTTTTATGGACTCAGATCAGTCTCAATGTTAATGAATGCACACAGGATTCACAAATGTATTTTGGGATTTATATATAAATATGTCTCTAAACAAAAATATTTTTCAATACACAAAAATAGAAATACACATATAAAAAAAATAACGTTCACATATGTATTTCTGATGCACACAGTGTTTTAAATAAATGTAGTAGAAATCCACAAATATATGTATGTAAAAGTATTTGCAATTTTCATCAAAAACATATTTGGATGTTACATTTATATAGCAACTGTTGAACCTGCATTTACAGAGTGCTTGTCATGTGTGAACTTCATTGCGTTTGTGTGTGGGTTTTTTGAGACTCCCCTGACTTGGCTCACTCATAAATGCATTGTTTTCAACAGGGAATTATCTGTAGCCAATCAGATGGCTCCTTCCCTTTCAGCTTAGATTTAAGGATATAATTTAATGGGATGACTTAACATCTCAAAAAACCCACACACAAATGCAGTGAAGTTCACACATGACAAGCAGTCTGTAAATGCAGGTTCAACAGTTTGTGTATTAATATAACAACATCCAAATATATATTTGTGTGCATCAGAAATACATTTGTATATGTATTTGGATTTTTTTTACATTTATATACTGTATAACGATAAATATTTTTGTGTGAAAAATATTTATGTGCAAAGAGTCATTTGTATATAAATCCCCAAAATACATTTGTGAATCCTTCTGTGTGCATTCATTAATATTGAGACTGATCTGACATCATTCATTTTCAGTGTGAACAATTTGAGTGAATTTTGTAGGGTAGGGTCATAGGGTCTTTGTCCTTTGTCCTGTAAGGGCATATGGAGCAGTTTATGAAGGACAAGGTCCTGAAACAAGCCACCAACATGCAGAAGCTTCTCCTGATCAACACGGCTGATTGTTCCCTCCACAAGAATGCTACCAAAGTTGACGTTGGATTTGTGGCAGAAACGTCCATCAGACAGCTCAGAAGCACAAGCAAAACCAGAGAGGCAGGTGCTAGACATAAGAATGGAGACCAAGGCCTTTCTTACAACTCTCCTTGCTAAAGTCCTACTTAAGGCTCCAGTGAACCACCTGCTGGTAAGAAATATGCAGTGTCTTGACCCTAGGCTGATGGTTTCCAAGAAGGAACTGTGTGTGGAGAAGATGAAAGGAGTCCTTCATACCCTGGTTGCTGCTAGCCAAGTGAGTGCCTCAATTTGTGACAAAGTGTTACAAGAATTCAGAGAATTCCTTGATGTTGGCGCATCTCGCTTTTGCTAATTTTGAACCCAAGCTGACCACTTACGGCTCTCCCAAGACCATACCGGAGTCTTTTGGGATGTGATCCAAATTATTTTGGTCATGTCCAATGGACAAGCCAGTGTGGAGCGAGGGTTTTCAGTGAACAAGCAAGTCATGGTGGAGAATATGAAGGAAGAGTCAGTAGTTGCACAGCGGGTCATTGTTGATCAGGGCTGCTGGTGGCATTGAGAAAGTCGCCATCATCAAGGAGCTTCAGATGTCTACTTCATGCGCTACACAAAGGTATGTTGCATACCTTAATGACAAGAAAAAAGAAAAACAAAGCAAATCCAATGCTGACAAAAGGAAGAGCTTGGCAGATGAACTTCAAGAACTGAAGCAAAAAAAAAAAAACGACTTGAGTCAGACATTCAACAACTTGAGTGGTCTGCTGATGAATTTGCAGAGAAGACACGAAATATGACATTTATTGTTAAGTCAAATAGCCTGCGGCACTCAGCAAAAAACAAGAGGGCAAGCCTTTCAGATTTAGGTAAGGACATTGAAGAGAAATTTTAAAAAATGAAGGAGTAGACCTGGGTGATGAGTTCAAACAAACCATGATGGTGTATTTTGTTGAAACCCTTTTTTGAGTTGACAATGCATTAAGAATACATTTATCTGATGTTTGAAAGAAATGTTAAGAAATATTATTATATAAGTCTGAGCTTAAGCCTACGTGTTGCCACATTGTTTTTCAGACTTGGATTCAGAAATTAGTTCATAATCAAATGCATTAAGAATACACTGATAGTACGATCATTTGTTTTCCCTCATGCTTGAAAGCCAGTGCCAGATTGATGAAAGTGCTTGTAAAGCTTTTTTTTTTTTTTTAAATAAAGGACAATGCATTGACTCTGTCTGTAGTTTGAAGTATTTGAAGTGAATATGAACATAACCAACTATTGGAGATTGAAAAAGGTTTACTGTTCCATTTTCATACAATAATTAACAGTTGGAGTAAAGTATACTATGCAGTTCTGTTTGTGTACTTATATAGGTTGTGAATGGTCATGGAAATTTTATTATGGGTCCTTGAAAAGTCATGGAAAAGTTTTGAAATTTTGTCCATGAAAATGTGTGGGAACCCTGAGTGTAGTACAGTGCAGTGTAGTGTAGTACAGTACAGTGTAATACAGTGTAGTACAGGTACCGAGGATCTCTGCAGCCTCCAGGTGGCGCTCTGGACACATCGGGGCTGTGAAGTTGAAGACAGCCGGAGACGTGAGGACGACTGAGAGACCATGAGGCTGAGCACACACACACACACACACACACACACACACACACACACACACAGGCCTCAGTAATGAACATTGATTACAGTGGAATCAATATGATTGATAAGCGTTGGTCAGTCACCACCAGGGCGTGATCCACACTGTAACCCTTCGCTGAGTGAGTCTTCACGTTCCCAGCGATCGGATACGACATCCCGTGGCTGCAGAGAGTCAACACATACTCTTTTATCTGGTGTTAATGAATCAATATTAACTGATAATTAATTAATATTAACTGATTACTAATCAATATTAACTGATTACTAATCAATATTAACTGATTATTAATCAATATTAACTGATTATTAATCAATATTAACTGAAGGTCTCACCACAGATGAACTCCAGCGTTTCCGAAGCCGATGCCGGCAAACACGCTGGCCAGGTGCATGCTGGACCGGGCCTCCAGATCCTCAGGGTCCCGCACCGCTCTGGACCACAAACAAACAAACAAACAAACTGTTTATTTACAGGCTGTCACAAACAATTAATGTTTAATATTTCATTGTTTATTTAATTGACTCTTTAATTTGTTGTTTTAACTGAAGTTTTTCATTCTTGATTTAATAATTAGAATCTTAATCTAATTAAAGTTCTATATTATATTTTAAGTTTAGATTAATTATGGGTTAATTATCTCAAGTATAAACTGTGGCGCCCCCCGGTTGGCAACCATGTGAACCAGCAGCTCTGCTCTGGTTCAGGTCTTTGTCTGGAGCCTCGGGGTTAAACTTTATTCACCGTTTCATGAACTTGGCGACCACGTTGAGGGCGTGGCGGGACCAAACGTCGCTGATGGGGTTGCTGCCCTGGTATGCGGGGCGGTTGATGGGGTTGGGGGGGCAGGGGCTCCGCTGGTTGTAGGGCAGAGCGGTGTACGACTCCAGAGCGTGACTGCAGGAAGTCAAACACACAGTGGAGTCATCCTACCAAAATAAAACCACCTCTTTAACAGATGACGCCAGCAGGAGGGAAAAATATCTAGAAACATACGAGGAAACAAACTATTCAATTAAAATCTTATTAAAAAATAAAAAATTAAATAACTAATAAAAGCTGCAATAAAATTTAATTGTAAAATAAAAAAACCTTTCTGAAAAATAATTCAACTTAAATTACAAAGAATGAAAACAACAACGTAAAATTAAATAAGTGCAATTAAAAATAATTTAGAATTAAAATAAAATGAAATAAATAAATAAATAACATTTTGAATATCTTGAGAAACTGAGATCAGATTTTAATTTTATTGATCACAGCACATATGTGTGGTTTTATTGTCATAAATAACAATAACAATAATAATAATAATAATAATAATAATAACAATAATAATTGAGAGTAGAGCTTGTTGTTGTTGAACTGTCATCTGTGTCCTTCAGCTCTCATACAAACATTAACTAACAAAGTGTTAACGAGGCCAAAGGCTCTCTTCCTGTAATCAAACACTCAGGAGGTCAGAGGTCACAAACACTCGTATAACAAAGTGTTTTCAACGTTAGCGAGCTGAAAGCACAATGACGGTATGTTCACTGACCAGAGCACGTCGAAGCCGCTGTTGGCGGCGACTCTCTCGGGCATGCTCAGTGTGTGCAGTGGGTCCACGATGCCCAGCGTCGGTCTGAGGGCTCTGCTGGCGATACCTGAACACAGACAACCAATCACAGCTCAGACTGACGCTGATGTCACTCTTTAATGACGACGGCTCGCTTGTCTTGTTTTTACCCGTTTTGGCTTTCAGAGGCTCAAAGTCGAAGATGGCGACTCCGGTGGTCTCGCTGCCGGTTCCCGCAGTCGTAGGAACTGAAGGAGTCAGACAGACGGAAACTATAAGCTGATAAATTACTCAATAATAAACTTTGCACGAAAAGTAAGGAAATTTGTGTTTGGTAGATTATTTCTCTGTGGTAACAATGCTTTTTGGCAATAAATCTTATACCGCTGGAAAGTCTGTTTAGTTCCCTTTCAAACGGTGCCCCATTTGAAAGGAACATGCATTTGTGAGATGAGCAGCAGAGCTGAGTATGTGGGTTGCACCCATGAAAAATTTGCCAAATCTTTTCTGCCATTGCCGAACAGATTATTTTGCTGTTGCTACTGACACTTGTTTTGAGCTTCTGGTACCCCCAGGTGCTGCCAACCAGGCACCTGATTGGCAGCATGGGCCCTACTACTGTAAGTACAGCTACAGTCAGTAAGTGTCTACTCCAAGAATCGGCATGCCACGTTTGACTGATCTGGATAGGGCCCTTGTGATAGGGCAACTTCAAGCTGGTGTTCCGCAAAACCAAGTTGTGGCATTATTTGGAGTGAGCCCTAGTACCATCTCCAAAACTGAAGGCCAAGTTCCATATAACGGGGGATGTCAAAGACAGGCCGCAAAGTGGGCGTCCCAAGAAGACGACACCCCAAGAAGACCATTTCCTCACCCTGTCAGCACTTAGGTGCCGTAGGCTGTCTTTTACAGATTTGCAGTGAAGGTTTGCAGGACGATTTGGCCGACGGCTCTCTGCCCAGACAATCCGGAACAGACTACTCGCAGCCAATCTCCGGTCTGTCAGGAGTCCTGCCATGACTGTCCTTCACCGTCAGGCCCGTTTGCGCTGGTGTCGGCAACACATGCACTAGAACCTGAACATGTGGAGTAACGTTATGTTCAGTGATGAGTCCAGATTCTGCCTACGGCAGTTGGATCATAGGGTCAAAGTGTGGAGAAGACGTGGAGAACACTATGCTGTTGCTGCACCGATAGAATAACATATTTTGGTGGAGGCAGTGTGATGGTGTGGGGCGGCATCTCCCTCACAGGAAAAACGAGGCTTGTCATCATTGGAGGCAATCTCAATGCAGAGAGATATAGAGATGAGATTCTGAAACCAGTGGCAATCCCATATCTCCACAGTCTGGGAACTCTATCCTCCAAGATGACAACGCTCGCCCCCACAGGGCGGGGTTTATCAGAGACTACCTCCAGAATGTGGGAGTGGAGAGGATGGAATGGCCTGCCAGCAGTCCTGACCTCAACCCCATTGAACACTTGTGGGATCAGCTTGGGCGTGCTGTTCGTGCCAGAGTGACCAATACAACCACGTTGGCTGACTTGCGACAAATGTTGGTTGAAGAATGGGATGCCATCCCACAGCAGTGTGTGACCAGGCTGGTGAGCAGCATGAGGAGGAGGTGCCAGGCTGTTGTGGCTGTGTATGGTTCTTCCACACGCTACTGAGGCTCCTGTTTGTGACATGAATAAATTGTTAAATTGCCAATATGTCTTGTTTCTTCAAACTTCAATCATCCAATCCACCAAACACCAAACGAGTCAATGGCAGAATAAGCTGTTTGACATTGGCAGAGGAGATCTGGCAAATTTTTCATGGGTCCAACCCACATACTCAGTTCTGCTGCTCATCCCACAAGTGCATGTTCCTTACAAATGGGGCACCATTTGAAATGGGGCACCATTTGAAAGGGAACTAAACAGGCTTTCCATGATTTATTGCCAAAAAGCATTGTTACCACAGAGAAATAATCTACCAAACACAAATTTCCTTACTTTTTGTGCTAAGTTTATTTCAGATCAAACAATAAATGTTATTTACAAATATTCACAATAATTTTATTACATTTAAACGTTTAACAATATTAAGTAAAAACCTCAACCTGGTTGCCACGGTAAACCCGGTACCTGCGATGAGCGGCTTCAGCGCTCCAGTGACCGGCTTCCCTTTGCCGATCGGCGCGTTGACGAAGTCCAGGAAGTCGGCATCGGGGTGGCACGCGTACAGGTTGGCTGCTTTACAGGTGTCAATCACAGAGCCGCCGCCCACCGCCACGAACACATCGAATGAGTTGTTCTTAGAGAACGCAATGGCGTCTTTAAAACTGCAACACACACACACACACACACAGTAACACACAGTAACACACACACAGACACAGTAACACAGACACACACACAGACACACACACAGACAGTAACACACACACACACACACACACACACACACATTAAACGTGACTTTCTGGTTGTTTGACCCAGCTCCTCTCAGCCAATCAGAGAGCAGTATCTACCTGCTGTCAGTAGGCTCCACCCTCACGTCATCGTACACTTTGTAGTTCACTCCGTTCTGGCTCAGAGACTCCAGGACGGCCTTCACGGGCGGGAGGACAGACAGGTTCTTGTCCGTCATCAGACAGACGTTCCGAGCTCCAAGGTTCTGCAGGTCCTGACCCAGAGAACCACAACCATGAATCAATACTGATCAATATAATTGATCTATTTAACCTCCATATAATGAGTGTGTGCCACTTGTAAGCTAACAGCTATAACAGCTAGCCCATAGGGACATATAGGGGACACAGTGGGGGGGTTTGGTTACCATGCCGATCTCTCTGCTGACTCCTTCCCCATATCTGATGTTGGAACTCGCCATCTGACACACACACACACACACACACATATAAATATAATATAAAATATAATATAATGTAAATATACTATAATCTATATATACTTAATATATTTCATAATATAATATAAAATACTTTTATATATTAATATTATAATATAATATATATACTATAATATATATACTTTATACTATAATGATATACTATACTATAATATAATGTAAATATTATAATATAATATATATACTATAATATATATACACTATATTATACTATAATATATTATACTATAATATAATGTAAATATAATATACTATAATATAATATAATGTAAATATAATATAATATAATATACTATAATATAATGTATAGTGCAGTCAGGTCTCACAGGGTTTCAGACAGTAGAAGTTATAAAGAGTCTTTAATAACAGAGTTACCTCGAAGGCGTAGTCGGTCTTCCGGACGGTGCAGGTTGCGGCTCCGGCACCTGCAGAAAAAACACCGGATAATGTGTGTGTGTGTGTGTGTGTGTGTGTGTGTGTGTGTGTGTGTGTGTGTGTGTGTGTGTGTGTGTGCATTACTGATTATTGATCCAGATCAATCACAGTTACTGATTATTGGTGTAAGTGGTGATTAATATGTTTGCTCACTGAGACCGAACTGCCTCCATCATGTGGACTAAAGGTTATCAGGCAGTAAATCACCAACACTGATTGATCAGCTGAGGTTAAATATTGATCAGCTATCAGGAGTGTGTGTTTATTGGGAGTGTGTACCTTGATGGAAGGTGTTGGAGTGAGCGGGACATCTGCACCTGTTCACACACACAGAACTCCAGTCAGAAGTCTGCACGTTTAACCACAGTTAATGTTAGAATCTGCAGTTTGTACGACGACCCCTGATCATCTTGGACTCAGAGGAACATTAATAATCACATTAAATATTGATCCTCAAAGCTGAAATGATGGTTTCTAAAGCAGAGTTCTGAATGGACCATCGCAGCTCAATTTAAGATGGAAAACACAAAAACAGAAAAAGCTGCAGAGGTCACAAAGAAATAAAGGTTCTCAGTCTAAAGCAGAATCTTAAACAGGGAGACTCTTCAGGGTCTCAGTGGTAATGAAGTCCTGGTTTAGGAGGTCCGAGAGCAGCAGTTTAAGATCTAGACCTGATCCTGTACCAACAACATTTTTAATTAGCGCTTACTTAATAATGGATAGTTTGCAGCTGGAAAGGTTGATCAATCAGAACCAGCTGTGCATTATTTAACTCAATGAGTTGAAATGATCGTAATGGGACAGAGGACCTGAACGAGTCTCCATGAGGTCTGACTGGTCCAGGTGTGGATCTAGACCTGCTCACATGTTGTCTGAGAAAACATCGAAATGTCCCTTTTATCATTATTAAGGTCCAATAAAGCTGAACAGAATATTCTCTCCTTTAAAGCGAGAGGTGTTCCTCACTGGAGACTTTGTAAAGCTCGTCCTCAAGCAGTGATTAAGTATTATATATACATACACAGCCGAACCTTCACACTCTTCCTCCTGCTTTGGAAAATGTGATTCATTGATCTCTGCACTGCGCAGAACCGGAATTACAAAGCGAACACTTTTAAAAGTAGTTGTTTTTTGAATGGAGTTCGGCGTCACCGCAGAGAAAAACAACGGAGGGGGCGGAGTCTGTATACGTCGACTCACCTTCAGCTGTTAATCACACCTTTAATGCACGTGAACAGAACTTACGCCGCGCGCTCGAGCTGCCTGAGCAGGTGAACGACCCGGTCCCGTCCGGCCATGTCTGCTGTCTGGTCCTCGTCCTGGTCTGGTCTTGTGCTGGTCCGCACCGAGGAGCTGGATTATAACCCCCAGTCACGTCAGGGTGACAACGGCAGGACGCACTGCTTCCGCCTCAAAGTTTCAAAATAAAGGCCAGTTATTATTGTTATTGTTGTTGTTGTTTTTCAGGATGAATGAAGGATTTCTGGCTCAGATGTTCAGATGTTTGACCTTAAGAGCAGAACTTGAGGACTCTGCAGTGGCAGTTGTGTAAACACTGAAAGGTCAGAGGTCACAGCAGTGAGACAGGAAAGACCGTCATGACACATCGACCTTTAAACAAAGCTCTCACTGTCCAGACGCCTCGCAGCTTCGCTTTCATTTATTTCTGCAGAAACTTCTTGTCCTGAGTTTTAATCAGCACTTTTTAATCAATATGTATCTATTTCTATTTCCTTTGACTGAGTTCACAAATCAATAATCAATAATAAACTGACAGTTTGTCTTTGAGTGTTGTTTCGTCATTATTGAACTTCCATAAACTCATCGAGTTCTTCAGGAACAATCTGATGATCTCACAGCCAGAGACTGAACATCTCTATTATTGATTATTGATTGATTATTGATCCGGTGAGTCGAAGGTCTCTGTGCTGCGTTCAGGTTCATCGTTCATCGATAGGGTTTGGTCAGAACTTTATCGTACTTTATCGTAAGTTCTGTCCGTACGATAAACTTCTCTCCGTACGATTAAGTTCTCTCCGTACGATTGATTTTGGTCCGTACGATAAAGTTCTGTCTGTACGATTAAGTTCTCTCCGTACAATGGAGTTTGGTCCGTACGTTAAAGTTCTGGCCGTACGATAAAGTTCAGTCCGTATGATAAAGTTCTGTCTGTACGATTAAGTTCGGTCCGTACGATAAAGTTCTGTCTGTATGATAAAGTTCTCTGTGTACGATAAAGTTCTCTCCGTACGATGGAGTTCGGTCCGTACGATGGAGTTCTGTCCGTACGATAAAGTTCTGTCCGTACGATTGAGTTCGGTCCGTACGATGGAGTTCGGTCTGTACGATAAAGTTCTGTCCGTACGATAGAGTTCGGTCCGTACGATGAAGTTCTCTCCGTACGATAAAGTTCTCTCCGTACGATAAAGTTCGGTCCGTACGATTAAGTTCTGTCCGTACGATGGGGTTCGGTCCCTACGATAAAGTTCGGTCCCTACGATAAAGTTCTGTCTGTACGATAAAGTTCCGTCCGTACGATTGAGTTTGGTCCGTACGATAAAGTTCTCTCCGTACGATTAAGTTCTGTCCGTACGATGGGGTTCGGTCCGTACGATAAAGTTATTTCCGTACGATAAAGTTCTGTCTGTACGATTAAGTTCTGTCTGTACGATTAAGTTCGCTCCGTACGATAAAGTTCTGTCCCTACGATTAAGTTCTCTCCGTACGATGGAGTTTGGTCCGTATGATATAGTTCGGTCTGTACGATAAAGTTCGGTCCGTACGATGGAGTTCTGTCTGTACGATGGAGTTCTGTCTGTACGATAAAGTTCTCTCCGTACGATAAAGTTCTCTCCATACGATAAAGTTCTGTCCGTACGATTAAGTTCTGTCCGTACGATGGAGTTCTGTCCGTACGATTGAGTTTGGTCCGTACGATAAAGTTCGGTCCGTACGATAAAGTTCTGTCTGTACGATTAAATTTGGTCCGTACGATAAATTTCTGTCCGCACGATTAAGTTCTCTCTGTACGATGGAGTTTGGTCTGTACAATAAAGTTCTCTCTGTACGATAAAGTTCTGTCCGTACGATAACGTTCTGTCCGTACGATAAAGTTCTGTCCGTACGATAAAGTTCTGTCCGTACGATACAGTTCGGTCCGTACGATAACGTTCTGTCCGTATGATAAAGTTCGATCCGTACGATAAAGTTCTGTCTGTACGATAAAGTTCTGTGCGAACGATAAAGTTCTGTGCGTACGATAAAGTTTGGTCCCGATTCCATCGATTGGTAATGGGCATGGCTAGGTGCTACGTCATCATATCCAAAAAGCCACTTCCGTGTCCATTTGCTAATATTCTAACGGTTCAATAACGGTAAAATGGTACAGTACGACGGAGTATAAGGGCCATACTAAGAGAAAAAAAACAATCTTTTTGGTGGAAATTATGAGAATAAAGTCATAACTGTTTAACGACAAAATTGTGAACACGTTAGTTTACCTGTCGACTGTACGGTACGACTGAGACAAACAGCGGCTGCTGGGCTCAGACTGAGGCTGCTGATTGGTTGAGCTGCTCACATCAGATCTTGATAACTCTATCGAAGCCTTCCTCTCATTAAAACTACTTTTTTTGTTGTATTATTATTACATTATTCTCGTAATATTGCAACTTTATTCTCGCAACATTACGACTTTATTCTCCTAATATTATGACTTTATTCTCGTAATCCCCCCCCCAAAAAAAGTAGTGCAGCACTGTATCCCGTGTTGCAATAACAGAAACGACGTGAACAAAACGATCTCTAAAAGAGAAGAAGAGATGGCTGAAGTTGATACGGCCCTCTTCCACCCTTTCCCTGTTAGACTTCCACCTGACATTGAACCAACTGTTATTCTCTGTTTGAATCATAGAGTTTGTGAACAGACTTTGGGATGTCAGTAAGTAGGCTGTCGCTGTATAATAGGTGACCGCTTCCTGTGCTGGAGCCATTGTTGTTTACGTGACCTACAAATGCTAATGGCCACGGAAGTGATTCCTAACGATTCCTTACGTCACACTAGCCCTCCCCATGACTGATTAAAGTGGGCGTGGCTTAGACAGTCCCAGTGTCTCTTCTTCTTCGGTGGTGGTTCCGTGACTTCCTGCAGATGTCACAGTGTTTTGTGTCACTGAGGAAGATGAAGGTCACCGACTCGCTCCTCAGTCGAAACGAGAAAGGTCACATCTTCATCTTCGTCTTCATCGCTCGCCTGCGACAAACACAATCATCATCTTCATCTTCATCTTCATCACCACCCCCCCGACACTCACTCTGGTATATAAAGTGGAAACAGCTCCAGAGTTTGTTTGTACGCAGAGAGACACACAGCTGGAAGACAGACAGGCAGACGGACAGACAGACAGACAGACAGACAGACAGACAGACAGACAGGCAGACAGACAGGCAGACAGACAGGCAGCAGCTGTGCAGGACGTCCAGGTAAGAGAACTCCTGATAAAATAAAACTTTATTGACGTCTCACAAGAGAAAGAATTCACTTAGCCGAAGCTAATTTTAGCTAACAGCTAACAGCTAATGGCTAATGGCTAATGGCTAACAGTCCTTTGATAGTTCAGGCAACCAATGAAATGATTTTGGTTCCTCCTCCTCCTTCTCTTCCTCCTCTTCCTGTTCCTCCTCCTCCTCCTTCTCTTCCTCCTTCTTCCTGTTCTTCCTCCTCCTCCTTCTCTTCCTCCTCTTCCTTTCTTCCTCCTCCTCCTCCTCCTCCTCTTCCTCCTCCTCCTCCTCCTCTTCCTCCTCTTCCTCTTCTTCTTCCTCCTCCTCCTCCTCTCCTCCTCCTCCTCCTCCTCCTCCTCCTCCTCCTCTTCCTCTTCCTCTTCCTTCACTTCCTCCTCCTCTTCTTCCTCCTCTTCCTCTTCCTCCTCCTCCTCCAGGAGCGGAGATGAAGCTGAACGTGTTGATGTGGCTCGCCGCTCTCCTCGCTGTCTTCCTCCCTCACCCCGCTGACTGTCGACCTGATGACGCTCCCGCCAGCCGCCGTCCGCTCCTCCCCCGACCGCTGCTCCTCCACCTGGGGGAGGAGTTCTCCCTGCGGCTGGGTGGAGGTGTAGGATCCTCCTCTGCTGCTCCTGCCCTCCTCTCCTCCTCCACCACCTCCTCCTCCTCTTCATCGTCCTCTGCGGTGAACCGGGCCCTGCTGCAGCTCACACAGCGCCTCCTGCAGGCTCGGGCGGAGCAGCAGGAGGAAGAGGAGGGGGAAGAGGAGGAGAAGGGGAAGAGGTCCGACGAGCCTCCCATCTCTCTGGATCTGACCTTCCACCTCCTCAGGGAGGTGCTGGAGATGGCGCGGGCGGAGCAGATCGCCCAGCAGGCCGACAGCAACCGCAGGATGATGGACGCCTTCGGGAAATAAACGAACCACTTCCACTTCAGACCCCTCCCACTTACAAACAGACTCCTCCCACTTACAAACAGACCCCTCCCACTTACAAACAGACTCCTCCCACTTACAAACAGACTCCTCCCACTTACAAACAGACCCCTCCCACCTACTGAAGAAGAACTCATTGATTGCCACAGATATATTATTCAGTGATTAATTATTATTATTACCTTTTTATAGTATCTTGATTTCTCTTCATATGTAATCTATTACCCTACAACCCGCTGTTGTCCACAGGGGGCGCCACAATCAACACAAACACATAACAGGACAAAAGGTATTCATGTTGTCTGTTGACCTGTTTACAGCTGAGGTCAGGTTGTCAGTAAGGGGAGCTCTGATTGGTTGTCAGTAAGGGGAGCTCTGATTGGTTGTCAGTAAGGGGAGCTCTGATTGGTCAGAGGCTGTTTGTGTTGGTGCCTTTTTAACATTTGACATTTCCAATAAAAAAGTGCTGACTGACTCCGCCCAGCAGCCGGGCCACCGTACTTTATCTGACCTCTGCAAGGGGGCGGGGCTGCATCCTGATATCAATGTAGGATCAATATTAAAGACTGGTATTATTAATTATATTGAACTCATTATTAAAGGCACTCTCACAAATGTTCCGGCTGTTTTTTCAATGAAGTCTGGTGGAGTTTTTTTGGGTGGAGCCAACAGAAGAAAATCAGTTTCATAATAAAACAATAATTTATTTTACATTTTAACAGAAAACATGTTTAACAGTCCCGACGTCGTCTCGTTAGCGTCGTTAGCGTCGTTAGCGTCAGATTCCCTCCTTTACTACAGACGGTTTACTTCTGGTTGAGCCAGCTGAAGGAGAAGACGTGTTTGGGTCCATCTTTGTCCTCCGACTCGTTCTGCTGATCAGCCTGCAGAACAACAATACAGGATCAAATATCTCCTTAATATCTGAATTCTCATTAAAATAATCATTTTAAATATTGTTTTATTTTTATAGTAGTTGAAGTAAAAAGTATAAAAATATTGATTTAAATTATTTTATCTGTAAGCCTCCAAAGTGTCCTTATTATATTTAATTCATTCAAATTTAATTCAATCAAATAAAGAAATCCTCCTTTTAATTGTTTTTATCAATTATTAATTTTAGTCTGATTCATTGTTTAATTTATATTTTGTTTTCGAACCGACTCAAACTGGTTTTAATATCTTTAATATTTCATATTTCACTCACAAATATAAAATGTATTTATAACACTTATAATTAATTAAACATTAAATATGATTAATATTATTAAAATAATATTATTTATAGGCTGTTGTGATGTCATACCTGAGGGGCGGGGCTTGCACTGGGGAGGGGTAGAGGGGGCGGGGCCTGGTTGGTTGATGAGGGGGCGGGAGGTTTTGTTGGTGAGGTGGTGGGCGGAGCCTCTGAGGGTCTCTGAGGGGGCGGGGCTGAAAGCTGAACACCTGCAGGCTGAACAGGAGACAGAGGAGGATTCTGATTGGCTGAGAGCCCAGCAACGAGCTCAACTCGACTTCCTGTTGTCCCTCTGACCTCCGTCACTTCATCTTCATCATCATCATCGTCTTCATCAACTGACGAGACAACATGCTAACATATTAGCATACAGCATACTGAATCTTAATAGCTCCATGCAAATAAACATATTAGCAACACGTTAGCTCAAAGCTAATACTTTAGCATTATATATTATTATTATCATTATATTGAATGATAGTAGTTCTATGCTAACACATTAGCACGCTTTAGCACGCCCACTTTAAGAACTTAAATGCTACTACTGCGTCTTGTTTGCTAACCTCCCAGCATGCGCTCTGTCTCGTCTGTGATTGGTCGGTCAGACGGACACTTCCTGTGTTTCTTACGTTTGATGAAGTCGATGTTCATGAGCGCTCTCCGCTGACGGTCAACGTTAGCTGTGAAGTGATCCATTTTCTCGTAGCCATGTTGGATGTTATCCAGGTGAGACGTGTTGGTGCCCTCCATGATCCTGACGACCAGATAACTTCCTGTCAACACTAATATCACCAATATAACTAATATAACTAATATTACTAATATCACCAATATAATTAATATTACTAATATCACCAATATCACTAATATCACTAATATAACTAATATAACTAGTATTACTAATATCACTGATATAACTAATATTACTAATATCACCAATATAATTAATATTACTAATATCACCAATATCACTAATATCACTAATATAACTAATATAACTAATATTATAATATCACTAATATAACTAGTATTACTAAATATATCACTAATATAACTAA